AAGTCCACATTGATACCTTTGGGCTATTGGGTTCCCAAGCAAAATATGAGATGCTGTTCCTGCAGCTTCCAGGTGGCATCATTGTGGCAATGCAGGAGGCCCAGGATGGGCATGTCGTCTAAGGAGTGGGAGGGGGAGTTGAAATGGTTCGCAACTGGGAGGTGTAATTGTAGCTGTTTGTTGCAAACCGAGGGTAGGAGTTCTGCAAAGCGGTCCTCAAGCCTCTGCTTGGTTTTCCCCGATTGTAGAGGAGGCCACAGCGGATACAGTATACCACATTAGCAGATGTGCAGGTGAACATCTGTTTGATGTGGAAGGTCTTCTTAGGGCCTGGGATGGGGGTGCGGGGGGAGGTGTAGGGGCAGGTGTAGCACTTGTTCCGGTTGCATCTCCTAAACCATCCACAACCTCATCACTTCAGGTGACCTCCCACCCACAGCCTCTAATCGTTTCCCCAACCCCACACCGCCCGTTTCTATCTCCTTCCCAAAATCCACAAACCTGACCTGCCCTGGTTGACCCATTTTGTCTCCGCCCACTCCTGCCCCACCGAACTTATGTCCACCTATCTCGACTCCATTTTCTCCCCCTTGGTCCAGGAACTCTCTACCTACGTCCGTGACACCACCCACGCCCTCCACCTCCTCCAAAACTTCCAACTCCCTGGTCCCCAACACCTCATCTTTACCATAGACGTCCAGTCCCTATACACCTGCATTCCCCATGCAGATGGCCTGCAGGCCTGACCAGTCCCCCTCCACTGATACCCTCATCCACTCAGCCGAACTCGTCCTCACCCTCAACTTCTCTTCAATTCCTCCCACTTCCTACAGACGAAGGGGGTGGCCATGGGTACCTGCATGGGCCCAAGCTATGCCTGCTTCTTTGTAGGATATGTGGAACAATCCCTCTTCCAAAGCTACACTGGCCCCTATCCCCCACCTCTTCCTCCGTTACAACGATGACTGTATCGGCGCCGCCTCGTGGTCCCACGGAGCTCAAACAGTTCATACAGTTCATCCACTTCACTAACACCTTCCACCCCAACCTTAAGTTCACCTGGACCATCTCCGATACCTCTGTCTCCTTCCTGGACCTCTCTGTCTCCATCTCTGGCAACCACCTGGAAACCGATATCCATTTCAAGCCTACTGACTCCCACAGCTACCTAGACTACACCTCCTCTCTCCCACCTTCCTGCAAAAAGGCCATCGCCTATTCCCAATTCCTTCGCCTCTGCTGCATCTGCTTCCGAGATGAGGCATTCCACTCCCGGACATCCTGGACATCCCAGATATCCTCGTTTTTCAAGGACCGCAACTTCCCCTCCAGTGGTCGAAAAATGCCCTCGACCATGTCTCTCGCATTTCCCGCAACTCGTCCCTCCCACCCCCTACCGGCAATAACAACCAAAACAGAATCCCCCTCGTCCTCGCGTATCACCCCACCAACCTTGAATCCAACGCATCATCCTCCGACACTCCTGCCATCTGCAATTTGACCCCACTGCCAAAGATGTTTTTCCCTCCCCACCCTTTTTATCTGCTTTCTGGAGGGACCACTCGGTGACTCCCTTGTCCGCTCCACACTCCCCTCCAGCCCCACCACCCCCAGCACTTTTTTTTTTTCCCTTCAATCAGACCAAGTGCTACACCTCCCCCCTCACCCCCATCCCAGACCCTAAGAAGACCTTCCACATCAAACATACCACATCTGCTAATGTGGTATACTGGTATCCGCTGTTCCCGTTGTGGCCTTCTCTACACGGGGAAAACAAGCGGAGGCTTGTGGAACACCTACCCTCGGTTCGCAACAAACAACTACACCTCCAGTCGCGAACCATTTCAACTCCCCACCCCCCCCACTCCTTGGACAACATGTCCATCCTGGGCCTCCTGCATTGCCACAATGATGCCACCCGAAGGTTGCAGGAACAGCATCTCATATTTCACTTTGATACCCTTGGGCTGCAGGGTTCCCATGTGGACTTCACAAGCTTCAAAATCTCCCCTCCCCCGACTGCATCCCAAAACCAGCCCAGCTCGTCCCCGCCTCCCTAACCATTCCTCCCACCCTCATCTCCTACTTACTAGACTCCTCCTGCCTCCTTGACCTGTCCGTCCTCCATGGACCAACCTATCCCTTCCCTAACTCCCCACCTACATTCACCTTTACTGGCTCCAACCCCGCCTCTTTGACCTGTCTGTCTCCTCTCCACCTATCTTCTCCTTTTATCCATCTTCTACCCCCCCTCCCCCTATTTATTTCAGAATCCCCTTCCCCTGCCCCATTTCTGAAGAAGGGTCTTGACCCGAAATGTCAGCTTTGCTGCTTGGCCTGCTGTGTTCATCCAGCTCTACACATTTGTTATGTCAGATTCTCCAGCATCGGCAGTTCCTACTATCTCTGTGTAACAATTGTTTTGTTTTTTTTTGACCAACCATGAGAACCATCACAGGAAATGGCTTCAGTGTATGTATAGATCATCCCTTTTTTTTTCTTTAACGAGTCTTTTTTGAAAAGAGAAGCTGATAGGTTGCTTTTTTGCTGTTTCATAGATGAAGAATCTCCTCGACATACATGAGGTTAATGCCTAGACAAACCTTTTTTTCTGGATCCTGAGCTTGTTGGTTATTGCCGGTGGTCTTGGATGGTAAACAAAGTTCTTTTAGTTATGAGCAATACGGCTTGATAGGTGAAATTTAAAGTTGAAAGTTAACAGTCAGTCAGTCATTCAGGTAATTTCAATTGCTTTCAGATCACTTGTGACTCTAAATCAATATTTTACACCTTCCACTTGCTAAAGTTTAGAGTTGTTAAGCAGTGAATTAATGAAAAATATTCTTATCAGCATCTGCTTTAAAAGGGAAAGTTGGGCAAACCCAGCATTTTATGTTTTTTTTTCTTTTAAAGTTATGATGTTTCATGTTTCTAGATTTTGTTCGTCACTTCATTTGCAGTGATTCAAAACAGTCTTGATTTGGTTAGTGGGAATTACTGTAACAAAGAAGGTGAAAGTCCTGATTTCAGAAGTATATACAAAGTTGTTTGCTGGTGTTATGAATAGTTGTTTTCATTAAATGCTTTTCACGTATTGCTTTTATCTATTTAACTAACTTGTTGACAAATCAATGCCATAATGACAAGGAAAGTGTGCTAATCACAGAATCTCAGAAGCTTTGCAGTGTAGAAGCTCATTGTGCCAGCACTGGCTCTTCAAATGAGCGTATTACCTAGTACCAATCTCCTTCTCCCCAATTAATTAATCCTGGCTCCACTACACATCCAGGCAAGGCATTTTGTACCTTAACTGCTTCCTGAAAGGATTGAATTTTTTTTTTTTTTTAAAATCACCCTTGCTTCTTTTGCAAATCACTTCTTTTTCTAAAAAAAAATCTGTCCTCTTGCTCTCCCTCCTTCCTTTATTTTCAAACAGGAAGAGTTTTTCTCCCCATCTATTCTATCCAGCCTGCTCCTGATTTTAAAAGTCTCTCTGATCACCTCTTAGCCTTCCTTAAGAAGAATGGTTCCACCTCATTCAAACTATCCTCAACACTGCTTTTGGTGGTAGCATGTTTTGTAGTGTACAATAAACTTGTCAACAATTTGTTGACAGGCAAGCCAGTCTGTTTGTTTTGGTTTCTTGTTATGCACATGCACTGTCAGTAAGAAACTCCTTAATAGAAAGTTCCTGAAATAGTTCAGTAAAATTATTGGCTGCACATAGAGTAACTAAGCTATTTTGACAGCGCTCATAGATTTTTTTTTTTTGTTATTCTTAAAAAGTCTGAGTGGAAATTACTAAGGGTGTTCTGGTTAATGAAATTATTACACTGAAAAGGAAAACCTCCTTTTGCAGAAGCAAATCTTCTCTCCTTTTAACAGTATATATAAACACCACGTGCACAACCAGGTTTGTGTTTCGGCTGTAATGACCAGCATGCTAACGTTCAACTTTTTAAGATGTGAATGATGTACAGTAATGCCATTTGCCAAAGCATATTCCAGCATGCTGCTGCTTCTAGATTGTCAGTGAGGGAAGAAGTTTGATTGGAACTCATTCCACTCAAATTTGCCATTTTTTATGATCCTCTTTCTTCTAACCCAATCTGTTTGTTTTTCTAAAATTTCATATTGTGAATGGAGTTGTGGTTTTGAAGGTATACTGTAACTAAAGCTGCCATAAAGTAAACTGATTTCATAGACTCAAAAGGCAGTCTATTCCTGAAAGGTTGGAAGCCTAAGTTTGATTATCAGAGTAAATTGAAGATTTAATGCAACAAAAAGGAAAATGTGACCTTTTGATAGGAAGCTTTTTTTTGTTAGTGTTTTGTTGCATAATAGAAAAATGACTGGTGTGATGTGCCTTGCTTCTAGGATGTATAAACTTGTGGAAATCTAAATTTTGCAATACTGCTGTTGATTGCACTGGGACATAGACTTCACACAACTCTCAAATCAAATGGACACTTGTCTCCACTAATTTGATCATCTTCAGATATGTTTATGACCCTTCTGAAGCGATAAACATCGTTGAAATGTTTCCAAATGGCTTCACCAGAAGTATTATGACACCAAACCACAGGTTATACAAAATAGCTAAAGGTTTGGTCAAAGAGATATGTTTGAAAGGAAGCGAGTGAGGTAGAGAAACAAACTTTTGAGAAGGAATCCTAGAGCTTGGGGTTTAACTGAAGTTGCAGCTGCCAGTGATGATGCAATTAAAATTGGGGAAGCTCAAGAGGACAGAATTAGCGGAGTGCGAATATTTTGTATGGATTGAAAACTGAAATGTTGATTTTTATAAAATCAAGATGTTGCTGAACTTTTGAATTATTGTACATCCTTGAGCACAGCTGTAATGGGTGAATAGGATTTTAACTAAGTCAGGACATTGGTAGCAGAGATTTGGCTGACCAAATTTATGAAGCATAGAATATGGAATATGAGTAAAGAAAGCATTGGTGTAGTCAAATGCAGAGGTCATAAAGACATGCATGATGGCTTCAGCAACAGATGAGCGAGGTGATGTTAGGGGGATGATGACTTAGCTATGGCATTTATGTATGTTGTACAAAGGCAAGAAACTCCAGTTCGCGTGCAGATACAGTACAGGTGTGCAATTCAAAGGAAAATGACAGATTTGGCCATTATTGCAAGAAGAGTACAAGAATAAAAGTCTTGTTGCGGTGGTGTAGGTGTTAGTGAGTCCACACCTGGACTGCTGAGAGTAGGTTTAGTCCCCATAGCAAACAAGGAATTGGTGGCCTTTGCATTATCTCAAACGTTCACTAGGTTTAGTTTAGTTCTTGGATTGAGGAGGTTGTCCAGTGATGGGCTGAATAAATTGAACCTATGCATTCCAGAATTTATATGAAGGATAATGTAACTGAAACATTAAGCAGTTCTGATGTTTGCACAGTGCAAGAATTTAAGCTGGTTTTTGAAAGTGTCCGATCAAGTGCCTGTATTTCTTTGTGTGAAGTGCAGAGGCACTCTGGCTTTCTGCTAAGACAACTATGGCTGGACAGGTGCAAATTATTGGGTCCCGGGGGGGGAAAAAAAAGAAAATCAAAAGATGAGTGGGTCGACCAGAGATGTCTAAACATGCCATCTGTAACTTGCACATCACATCACGTCACATAGTATGGGAGTTGATTCATACAGTATTAGTAATGTACTGTTATCTTGAATGCTCTTAGCCATACCATCTGGTGTTGCCATGTTGAGACCATCTCCATGATGCACAGCATCGTGTTCTTAATCCGGTTTGGGACAAAAACAACGTGCTTGTTACCTGCTAGTTTGACTTCGCTCACTTCTGCAGTGGGCAACCTTGTCCTGCAAAACAGAGGGCAGAAATCAGTGGTGTTCCATTGTTCAGTTCAGATGTGCCTACCATGGATGAATATCTGCTGTCAGTGAGGGATGTGAGACTGACACAGTTGAAAGGTGTGGGGTGAGTTGATGTGGTCTGACTGTCAAACATGAGTACTTTTATGAGGTGGGGTTTAATTGTACTGAGCAAGGTAAATGGCAGAGTGGATATGAGCTAGCACTTTAAAGATGCATCTGTTAACTTTTGACCACCTAAGTTCGTTAACTTTGACCACCTGCATAGGATTATTCAGCATCTTCTACTACTGTTATCAAGAACGGCTGTTGTGGTGTAGTGGTGGTGTTCCAACCCCTAGCCAGGAGGCCTAGGTTCAAATCCCACCTGCTCCAGAGGTGTGTAATGACATCTGTGAACAGGTTGATTTAGAAACATTTTTTGTTACTGCTGCCAAATCTTGGAGACCTAGACTCTGGGAGTTAACTATTGGC